GGTGCCTATACGACCACCACGGTGTCTACGGTGTCTATACCACGTGCCTATACGACCACCACGGTGCCTATACGACCACCACGGTGTCTATACGACCACCACGGTGCCTATACGACCCCACGGTGCCTATACGACCACCACGGTGTCTATACGACCACCACGGTGTCTATACGACCCCACAGTGCACGACCCCGGTGTCCATACGACCCCACGGTGCCTATACGACCACCACTGTGTCTATACGACCACCACGGTGTCTATGAGACCACCACAGTGCCTATACGAACTCCACAGTGCCTATACGACCCCCACTGTGTCTATACGACCCCACATGCCTATACGAACTCCACGGTGCCTATACGACCCCCACGGTGCCTATACGACCACCACGGTGCCTATACGACCTCCACGGTGCCTATACGACCACCACGGTGCCTATACGACCACCACGGTGCCTATACGACCCCCACGGTGCCTATACGACCCCACGGTGCCTACCCCACGGTGCCTATACGACCACCACGGTGTCTATACGACCACCACAGTGCCTATACGACCACCACGGTGTCTATACGACCCCCACGGTGTCTATACGACCACGTGCCTATACGACCCCCACGGTGTCTATACGACCACCACGGTGCCTATACGACCACCACGGTGTCTATACGACCCCACGGTGTCTATACGACCCCACGGTGTCTATACGACTCCCACGGTGTCTATACGACCCACGGTGTCTATACGACCCCACGGTGTCTATACGACCCCCACGGTGTCTATACGACTCCCACGGTGCCTATACGACCCCCACGGTGCAAACGACCTTAAAATAATTCACTCGAGCGTCGTCAGATGGTAGGTATAGTAGTTCAGGTAGCAGTGTGAACCTGACGCGGGGACAGGTAAGAGGTGACGCAGGGGACAGGTAAGAGGTGACGCAGGGGACAGGTAAGAGGCGGCGGTCCAGCAGGTGTGCCCAGGGGCTTATAGTAGATAAAAGACAACCTACTTTCAACCTCCAGCCTTCATAAACGGCATTTTTTTCTTTACTCACGTCACCTCCTCCCCCACATTGTCCTCTTGTTTATGCTGAAAGGGACCTAACCTGGTGGCTCCTTGTTTATTTATCCATACCTTTGTTTGTACGCGCACACACACACACACACACACACACTACACCTACCTCTTATTCCACCACCCACCGACTCCACACTCCACCACTCCACACTCCGCACCCATCCCCCCCCCATCCTTCTCACCCTGGCTGGGGACATCACACGGCCAACACCTCACATACCTGGAAAGAAAAACAAAACAAAGATTAGTGACCAGTATTGTCCGCCAGGTGTCTCTACTATTATTATATACGTTTATATCTACATAATCAACACCATTCTGGGTTTCTAAGTTTTCTAATGTTTTCTAATGTTGTCTAATGTTTTCTAACTCTGTGGTGTAAACATCTGTTAGTTTGTGATATAAATTTACTCCCGAAGAAAAAGGGAAATTCAATCTATCATGTTTTGTTTTTTTTTAGGATTTTTTATTTATTTATTTTTTGTCCCGTTTGTGGTGAATAAAATCGTCAAGTGATAGTCAAATAAAATCGTATAATTGGTGTTGTCGTAGTGAGGGGTTTGTTTATTCTGATATTTGTTATAGGGGCAGTATAAATAATCCTTAACTCTCTTTATGTGTTGGTGGGGATCTAACTCCATTTTTTTCTTTTACGATTTTACCTATGGCGCCTAAACACATTTTCGAGGAGGTGGAATCTATTTCAATTATCAGTTATACAGAATTATGTCCCTGTACTATACGTAAAGATCTCGTGATTTGTTATGTGGCAACACTTGTCATGGTCACACTGTCAACCAGTTGGTGTCTTTGTTCAACCTGAGGCATTGATCCTTCTTTGTGGTGAATCAACCTATGCATCATACAAGTTACAACCGACTATAATTTCAGTTAACACATCACTGCCTAGCTATGCCTTGATGGACGCCTCTATGTGTGTGTGTGCTGGGAATTAACCGTATTGTATCCCTCAAACTCGTTCTGGCGACTGTGAATGTTGCTTTCCGTGTAGACAACAAAGCTGCCACCGTGATGCCGCCACCGACATGGTAACACCTTTCCTGGAATTGTGGAGGTAAGCCTTTTGGGGCGGATCGTGTTGTGGTGCGACGCAGAGTTCATAAGAAATATGGAAAAACATCTGAAAGTCTAGTGTAGATGAAAGAGGCGGACGACAAAGATCAAAGACCTGAGCATAAGTTAGTGTACAGTCGCGGGTGTTTGTTGTGGTAAGTCTATCCTTCACACACCTCTCCTCTCTCTCCTCTCCCATCCACACCTTTCTTGTTTCCTCTCCCATCCACACCTCTCCTCTCCCCTCCCATCCACCCCTCTCCCATCCACACTTCATAGAGCAGAAGATAAAAAGAAACACATTCACCAGGTGCTTCTTGTGACGCTTCTATGACGGCAACAAATTAGATTAACCAAAAGATGTTGCCACTGACTCTCTAGAATGAGTTGGAATGGCACCCCACCACCACGCCCCTGGCACCTGCCCACCACCACGCCCCCTGGCACCTACCCCACCACCACGCCCCCTGGCACCTCACCACGCCCCTGGCACCTGGCACCTCCCCCACCACGCCTCCTGGCACCTACCCCCCACCACGCCCCTGGCACCTACCCCACCACCACGCCCCCTGGCACCTACCCCACCACCACGCCCCCTGGCACCTACCCCACCACCACGCCTCCTGGCACCTCCCCCACCACCACGCCTCCTGGCACTGTGTACAAGTGTGGCAGCGCGAAGTATGTAAAAGCATTTCACCTTTCGGGTTATGACGGAAAAAACAAACAGATAGTAACTGGGTTTTTCTGTGTTTGAAGAGAGAGAGAGAGAGAGGAATAAAAAAAAAGACAATCAGAAATTCATACACCACAAGTAAATCTTGAACGAGGTAAATTAATTAACCATTTCAATCACACCAGAGACACAACACAGGCTGGTGGTATATGGCTGGCCAAGGGTTGAGTCACCAAGCTACATTATCCATATCACCAAAAAATAATCACCAAAACACATAACAAAAAATAATAAATATAACAGGAATATCAAAGGCAGGTAATATATTTTTTTTACAACTAATATTGTTAAAAGTTTGGGGGAAAATTATATATGGGATTTGTCGAAGCTTTAAATCTGAATTTGACCACCATAGTAATTTAATAATGGATGGTGGACACACACACACACACACACACACACACACACACACACACAGATGGATGATTTGATTGAGTTTTTTTTTACCCCGTTGAGGAAATGTAGTCGTTTCTTTCCTCTACAGATTGTTACTTGGCCCTGCTGTATAGAATGTTACTTGGTGAGGCTGTACTGATTGTTACTTGGCCCTGCTGTACAGATTGTTACTTGGCCCTGCTGTACAAATTGTTACTTGGTCCTGCTGTACAGAATGATACAGTAACACAGTCAAGTAACATTATATTTCTTACGTTTTTTTCACTGAATTTTAAAAAATTTTAAAAAGTTTTGTCTCTCGTAATTATAAAAGTTACTTCGAAAAATTAAAAGTGAAAATATATTCTTTTGTTTATAATCTTCATGTTCATTATATCATCATCATCATCATCCAATACAAGTGTACGTGAGGGTATAATGATGAATATAATGGTGTATGTGGGGGAATAATATGAAGCATATAATGGAGTATGAAGCAGTAACTCGAGAGGCGTGTCATGTGGGGGCTTCACCTTCACTGAACCGACAATAAAATTAAGTCCGGGTGGTCGTGTGCACTTACAGCCATCAGAGCCTCGACAAAGGTCACGCCAGGTCATCCCGTGATAAAAATATCCCCCCGACTTGTGACGTCTTTCCCGAGGTTCAAAGGTCACACCTCATCTGACCTCTTCTTCACATCACCTCTCACCTTTACCTGGCGCCAACTCAACCCCCCACCTCCATCCTTGTTGGGGAGGAAGGGGAAGGGGGGAAAGGGAAAGGGGGGAGGGGGAAGGGGAGGGACAAAGGAGGAAGGGATAAGGGGAGGGGGAAGGAGAGAATGGGAAAGGAAAAGAGGGAGGAGGAAGGGGGAAGGGAGGAGGGAGATACGTTCTTGCGTAGGTTTGTCTTTCTCAGAAGGTGGAGAGAGAGAATCGCTATGGCAATCCAAGAGTCAAGGCATCACACTCTGGCTCTCAGCTTCCAACACATGCCACGGGGTTCCTCAGTAGTAGTAGTAGTAGTAGTAGTAGTAGTAGTGACGGTGGCGGTTGGCGGCAGTGAGGGTTAGTGGCGGTTGGCGGCAGTGGCGGTTAGTGGCGGTTGGTGGCAGCGTTCATTAAACATTACTTTTTTCTTTATTAAATGTTTGTTAATTCCAAAACGAGCGTAAATTGTCCATAGACTTTTGTTCTGTCTCGCTACAAGCAGCACCATCCATTAGTTTTGGGACTCCACGCAAAGCCGGAACTAGAACAAGCGCGAAAATAAACAGAAAAACTGATAACCAGTGAGTGAAGCCTGGAAGGAGTGTGTTAGGGGGTGGAGGGTGGGGGTAGTGGGGTAGGGGGTTGGGAGAAGGAGGGTGTAGGGGGGGTGGAGAATAAATACGGGGTTAAGGAAGAAATTATATAACAAACATTTCCACTTAACACATATTCTAAACCCGTGTTCGCCAGCGGCCATTTTTTTTTACCTACCACCAGCGGCTATCTTAACTTAAAAAACAAAACAAAACAAATAATTTAGTGTGTGTTATTATCATTATTATCCTCTGATACTGTGATAAAATTTAATGAGCAATAACGTGATATTAAGGGCAAACAGAGAGAGAGAGAGAGAGAGAGGCCAGTAGTAGGAAAATAAAAAAGAACAATAAAAGGAAGGAAGGAAGGAAAGAAGGAAGGACACATTCTATACCGCATACTATACCAGTTGTACCAGTGATGCTCTACCGGGGATACTTTACCGAAAGCAATGAATGAAGACTGATGTACTGTGACGGTGATGCTGTGACGCTGTGATGTTGTACCGGTGACGCTGTGACGGTGACGCTGTGACGGTGATGCTGTGACGGTGACGCTGTGACGGTGATGCTGTGACGGTGATGTTGTGATGGTGATGCTGTGACGGTGATGCTGTGACGGTGATGTTGTGACGGTGATGCTGTGACGGTGAGGTTGTGACGGTGACGCTGTGACGGTGATGCTGTGACGGTGACGCTGTGACGGTGATGCTGTGACGGTGACGCTGTGACGGTGATGCTGTGACAGTGATGCTGTGACGGTGATGCTGTGACGGTGATGCTGTGACGGTGATGCTGTGACGGTGATGGTGATGCTGTAACGGTGATGCTGTGACGGTGATGCTGTGACGGTGACGCTGTGACGGTGATGCTGTGACGGTGAGGCTGTGACGGTGAGGCTGTGACGGTGATGCTGTGACGGTGACGCTGTGACGGTGATGCTGTTAGGGTTGTGCAGTAAGGTGGACGCTGTCACTACCACTTTAACTGTCCCTCACAACTGATATACCTCCCTCACGCCCACACACACACCTCCCTCACGCCCACACAACCACCTCCCTATACCTCAGTACCTCCCTCACGCCCACACACACACCTCCCTCACGCCCACACAACCACCTCCCTATACCTCAGTACCTCCCTCACGCCCACACACACCCCTCCCTATAGCGTGAAGATAAATACTCACTTGAGATAAACATTTCCAATTCCAGATTCTAGGAGTCGATGATGATGATGATGATGAAGTGATGATGATGATGATGATGATGATGATGATGATGAAGTGATAATGATGATGATGATGATGAAGTGATGGTGATGATGATGATGATGATGATGATGATGATGATGACGAACACCCATCACACATCACTGTCAGTCAGACTTCTTGGGGTTACTGCTACAGCACATAACCTAATCTAATCCAAACCTAACCTAAACAAAACTAACCTAACCTAATCTAACCTAACCTAATCTAACCTAACCTAACCTAACGTGACGTCACTATAGTCATCAGCTTGTCACAATGAAATAGATCCCATAAAAACACGTCTGTCTGTATGACGAAGTGAATGACGTGTGTGTGTGTGTGTGTCGAGATGCCAGACCACGTGATGATTATGACCAGGTTAATGGGATGGGGAGTACCAGGTGGGGTTGTTGACACTACAGAAGGTTTGGCCGGTAGCACCACTTAATGGGCCACTTATTACCTGAATGGTGGGCGGCAGGTGGCGCTGACGAGGTGCACGGTCACCTAGGGAGTATAGTGTTAGGCTTATCTAGAGTGTGGGCGGGTAAATAAAACTACTCAACCGGATATCATAGCTGAATTACTGGGTGTAGTGTGTGTGTGTGTGTGTGTGTGTGTGTGTGTGTGTGTGTGTGTGTGTGTGTGTGTGTGTGTGTGTGTGTGTGTGTGTGTGTGTGTGTGTGTAATACTGAAAATCAAGGACAAGTGTGTTGTTGTTGTTGTTGAGAGAGAGAGACAGAGAGAGAGAGACCAACCCAAACAAAATACTGCATTTCTCTTTATGATTTTCTACCTGACGCTCACATAAATCCTAATAATATTATCAGAACTGTATTTCTTCACTACTGTTAGTCTTCACACTCTACGTAACACACACTCTACATGTGAGTTAGTGGTGTATAGTTCACGACACAGGAGAGTTTGGGCGTTTTCTTCAAGCAACGCAAAGGAGCTAGTTTATTGAGCACCCCCATTATATCCTATGTAAGACGAAGCTTAAGAGATGTAATACCCAGCTCTATATCTCCGGCCCAGAGTCGTGATGTAATACCCAGCTCTATATCTCCGGCCCAGAGTCGTGTTACACTTCTTACACACTTGGTGATATATAAACAGTTTTCTGAAATTCCTAAATGTCCTTCCATCAGCTCCTGCCTCCTGCTCTGGGCGCCACGACAGAGGATCAGGCAGCGAGAAGTCATCTTAAAAATATGCAATAATCTCCTGGAGGCGACACACACACACAAGACTCGAGAAACAATGTTAATAAAAATGTAAATTAGCATCGGTATAATCCCGGAAGTTTGTGACTTGTCAACAAAGGCGAGAAAAAGAAATGTTTACAATTTTTTTTTGTAATTTAATATTTTCAACTAATAATGATAATGTTAAGGAAATAAATACCTGTCATTACTAATTACCATTTTAGGTTTAGTGTTTCCTAGTCTTAAGGGTTTAGGTGTTTTATTATTTAAATATCATATATAAACACCAATTAACTGGGTTTAACAATTACAAAATTACATAAATCCAGCAAATTAATGTGAACCTACTATAGCTTACACCCTACAGCGGCACCTTACAGTACGGCCACCGAGGGTCCACATTGTCTACGTATATCCCAGTGAAACCTAAATATAACGGACTCTCTTCCTCCATATAGTCCGTTATATGGAGGTTTCACTGTATTTCCTATATTGTTTTGCGATGAATAAACCAGAGAGAGAAATTTAGGACAGACAGACAGGTCATAACCCCACCCCCTCCATCGCTGAGTGGTATAAATAACAGTGACGTAACGCACAATGCTATCTCATAAACACAGGATTTTTTTAAGGGAGGGGGGCAATTGTGGGGAATGGGGTAATTGTGGGGGAGGGGGCAATTGTGGGGGAGGGGGTAATTGTGGGGGAGGGGGCGGGTTGTGGGGAGGGAGGGCGATTACATAAAAAAAATATCATATTGTATTTGTTTTTTGTTTGTATCGAAAAACAAAAACAAATAACGCTTCCGAGTCTTTAAATAAATAAATAAATAAATGAATAAATAAATAAATAAAACCAAAGGGCTAAACTGCATTTCATTATTCTTTTTTTTTTCTCTTTCCTGCGTTTTTATGCACCAAAGGACATACATTTTTTTCTTTTTAATCATAAAGTTAAATGATTCCTTTATTACCATAATTCTCGTGGCTTTTTTTTTTTATCTTTCACGTATTTTCGGTGTTTAGTGGTGTTTTTGTTTCACGTATTTTCGGTGTTTAGTGGGTGTTGTTTTTGTGTCACGTGTTTTCGGTGTTTAGTGGGTGTTGTTTTTGTTTCACGTGTTTTCGGTGTTTGTTCTAATATGATTGAAGATAAGAGACAGCCAGCATCGTAGTGTAGTAATAGTAATGACTAACAGAACTCCATAGTACAGCAGTGACTAAGATAAAATCACAGCACAGTACAGCAGTGACTAACAGAACTCCATAGCACAGTACAGCAGTGACAACAACCAACACAGCAAACGACACACCTCATCACCGAACAGCAGTGAAATAGCCAAAGTTAAGAGTCATTTTCTGCCTCAATCAAAAGTTTTCTAAACAAAACAAAACACGTAGAGAGAGAGAGAGAGAGAGAGAGAGAGAGAGAGAGAGAGAGAGAGGACACACACAAAACACACGCTCCTCTCAAGAAAATTGGGTGACGGCTCTAGTGTTTAATTTTCATAATGCCTGAGTCAATATTTAATGTTTATTTTTTTCCCTTCACAATGTTAAAGTCAACATGATGAGCGGTGACACAGGCTCCCTCTATATAGGTCTTTGTCACTCACTCACTGACGGACGGAGGAATGAGCCAGGATGATTAACCTCTTCTTAATCAGACTAACATGGCTAAAACAACAAACATATACAAGGTTGAACGAGAACCAATTGACACACAACACAATGGTCTTAGTATAACCAATGTGTGTGTGTGTGTGTGTGTGTGTGTGTGTGTGTGTGTGTGTGTGATTTAGCTTTTAATTTCCTTCATCCATCACACGTCTCTGCATTACCCTGGCCTTCCTATACCTTGGCCCTCCTACCTGGCCCTCTTACCTGGCCCTCTTACCTGGCCCTCTTACCTCTAATTGTACTCATTAATATCTATAACATTATCCCCTTCTCCTTAATTATATGTAAGACGATTAAGCAATAAAATTATATCCGTAATAAAGTGATGCATAGCCCCGCAGCTCCTAACCTAACCTAACCTAACCTAAGAGCCAGGTCAATGATAATTATAGAACATTGAAACAAACACAAACACACACACACACACACACACACACACACACACACACACACACACACACAACTCCGGTGGAGGAGGTGGAGTGACATCACCACCTGTCTTACACCACTTGTCCTCCCACACTCCCTCCCTCCCTCTTCTTCTTCTCTCTCTCTCTCTCTCTCTCTCTCTCTCTCTCTCTCTCTCTTTATCAATCTATCTTTACTCCCTTTCATTCGGTATTGTCTTTGTCTCATGTTCCCATTAACACTCTCTCGCTGCGTCTGTTCCCTCCATTCTATTCTAATTTCCTTCATTATTCCTAATCTTTCATCTCTCTCTCCCTCCCTCATTATCACCTTTTGTCAGCTATCCCCTTCTTCTTTTCCTCCTGTTTATCTCTTACGACCAGGGTGTGTGTGTGTGTGTGTGTGTGTTAGTAAACAGGTCCCTTATTGGTACATTTCACTTGTTTGTTTAACTTCCTTCCCCTTACTCACTATGCCCGCGTTTTCGTCTCGCTGTGGGTGGGGGCGTGTGGGTGGTTTTGTGAGGCTGGGTCTGTGGGTGGGTGTGTAAGTGCCTGGATGTTAATCGATTTGCAGATCGTATTCCGGGGTAATGGTTAACCAGTGCAATTGGCGAGGCACTATACACGACATCTTCACTATTCACTTCACTATAAGACACAATAAACATCTTCACTATTCACTTCACTATAAGGTAAAAACACAACATCTTCACTATTCACTTCACTATAAGGCACTATACACAACATCTTCACTATTCAGTTCACTATAAGGCACAATAAACATTTTCACTATTCACTTCACTATAGGGATAAAAAACACAACATCTTCACTATTCACTTCACTATAAGGCACAATAAACATTTTCACTATTCACTTCACTATAGGGATAAAAAACACACCATCTTCACTATTCTTTTCATTATAAGGCACAATAAACATCTTCACTATTTACTTCACTATAAGGCACTATACACACCATCTTTTCTATTCACCTCACCATAAGTCACTATACACAATATCTTCACTATTCACCTCACTATAAGGCTCTATAAGCATCTACACCACTCAGTACTCACTTCACTATAAAACTACTTTACGTCTCACCTACTTGGCAATGTTCCAACCTCATTAATTTTTTTTTCACAAGTTTTTGAAGTTTGTAGCCGAATTTCAACTTGACCTCAGTAGAAGAACTGCTGGTCAAGGATAAGTTGTCGTTATGACTTATTTTGAGAAATTGGACATCTCTTGTTTCACCAGCTCCAGCCTCTCATGGCTGGAGTTGGTTGAAGCTGAAGAAAGCAGCCAAACTTTGGCTTACCTTACACCCAAGCCCCAGAGAGAACCCCGTCAACGAGTGCCCCGCAAGCCCAACCATATTTTGGCTTCCCTTACACCCAAGCCCCAGAGAGAACCCCGTCAACGAGTGCCCCGCAAGCCCAACCATGCTTTGGCTTCCCTTACACCCAAGCCCCAGAGAGAACCCCGTCAACGAGTGCCCCGCAAGCCCAACCATGCTTTGGCTTCCCTTACACCCAAGCCCCAGAGAGAACCCCGTCAACGTGTGCCCCGCAAGCCCACCCAGGTACCCCAGGAGAACGGGTGGCCCAAGGATATAACCCCAAAGAAGTCCCGCAAACCTACTGGTAGTT